TAAAAATGATAAACTGTAGTGCATTAATTGAAATATTTGAATAATTCAGGAATTCAGGCTTGTAATAACTCTTTGTTTAGGTCACCGCTGAGCGTCTCGGGGCACAACAAACATTGCGATGAATAGAATATGATTTTTAATTGAATATTATTATTATTATCAACCAACATTTCGGTGAAAAAATTATTATTGCAAACTATTTATTGCAGACAATTTATTATTGTAAAAAATTTAATATTTTAGACTATTTATTATTGTACACTATTCATTGTTGGTAATTTATTATTGTAGACAATTTAATATTTTAGAAAATTTAGTATTATGGACAAGTTAATATTGCATACTATTAATTGCAGATAATTTATTATTGTAGGCAATTTAAAATTAAAAACAAGTTATTATTTTAAACTATTAATATTGTAGGCAATTTATCATTACCGAAAATTTGTTTTTGCAGAAAATATATTATTACAGAAGATTTATTATAGCAGTCAATTTATTATGGTGAATAATCTCTGCAATTTATGGTTGCAATCAATTTGAATTTTGCAAGCAATTTTTAATCATAGACAATTGCAAGTAATTCACTGCCGCCAACAATGAATATGTATATATATATAAAATTTCGAATATAATTTTTTATTATCATGAACATCTTTCTTTTAATTACTAGGAATTGTCACTACGAATAATTAACCATTTGCAAAAATCTATTATATATAATCATTTGTTATTGTACACAATTCATAATTGCACACAATTCATATTTGCACACAATTCATAATTGCACACAATTCATATTTGCACACAATTTGCACACTTAATTTTCACAATTTATTATTGCATGCAATTTATAATTTCGCATAATTTACAATTGCACGCAATCCATAAATTACACAAAATTCATAATTGCACAAAATTCATAATTGCACACAATTTATTATTGCACATAATTGAAGAGAGTGAAAGGAGTGGGGGAAAGAGGTGAGTGGTGGAGTGAAGAGTGGTATGAGTAGAGTGGTGGACTGAACGGATTGCCATGTAAAAGTGAGTGTTGTATGAGAGGCCACTCCAACACTCCCTTGAATGAGTGGGATACGTGGAGTGTTCTTGTGAGTGGTGTGTTTCGAACATCATACTCCACTTTTATTTTCGAAAAACACCACTCAGTACACCACTCCACGTGTGTGGAGTGGTGTGAAAAGTAATCGTGAATGAGCGGACTTATGGTGTAGTGAAGTGGAAGTAATAAAGTGAATAGGAGGTGTGGGTGGAGTGAAGAAAATTAATCAAAAACATCATTAATTTAAATAATTTTTTAATCATGAATCCTATTTCGGGTTGGAATTCAGTTTATTTAATTCAACTATATTATGAAACTTTTGAAAGACGATAATACATTTTTGAAATTTAAGAAAACTAATTTATCCTGGTTTTTATCTATGCTATATTTTCTCAATAGTTTTAAATAACTTGTAATTCATTCAACCTATTTAACAACTAATTCATCTTGCTTTTTATCTTTAGTGTACTTCTCAATAATTTGAAATAATTTATAATTCATACAATTTATTTAGTTCAAACTCAGTCGGTAATTAAAAAATTTAATAAACATGGCGGAATTTTAATCACTTCGAGTGCCTAGTTTTTTTCCGCGCGTATAATTGATCCGCGAAAACTCGTCCACATTTCCATTAGTGCGGACAATGAATAATGGGGGTTCAAATGGGGGGTTCAATAATAGGGGGTCAATATCGACCCAGATTGCCTCAATAACCGAACAAAATGGCCGCCAGTAATTGAAAAGCAATGACTTTAGTGATAATGAATTCAGGGCGCCGTAATTCATGCATTCATTTGACCGGCCTATCGCTAGTCATTCACTATTCATTCAGGCATTCATCTGCCAAATGCGCGATGAGTTTTGTATTCATTTAGTATTAAAGCTGATGTATATTTAATGTTCACTGCTAATATTAGTATTTATTTGCTGATAGATATTATATTCATATGGTTATGAATATTTATTTTTTTTGCTATTTATTCATACCATTTTTCATGCAAATGATTTTTTTATGATTAAATTTAAAGTTGCCGAAGAAATTAAATTTTGTTCAATTACTTTGTTTTATATATAATTGCTCTCTATAATGTCCTTATTGAAACTGATTAATTTTGCAATAATCAAATTATCAAAAATATATTTTACAGTAAAAGAATTTAGAGAAAACTAAATTCAGGTTAAGAATTCATGGTCAATTATTGTTCCTGTTTAGATTATTCAAGAATTTCATGTTAACTATAAGTATACTAGTTAAAGTATATTCCAATATAATCGACCAAACGTATGTAATAATTTTTAGAATTAATTATTTACAATATAATAGATTTATTTTTTGGGCTTAGCGGAAATAATAAATATTGAAGAAAAGGAAAGTAACTTACTAATATATTTTGTACTAATATCTAGATAATCGGTTTGCCAAATGATACCTCATCTCCTTAAAAATAACGTAGATTTATGATCATGGGTAATTAATTAACAATTAATAATTTTCGGACGAATATCATTTAATGATTTATACAAATCATTAAATTATGATTCATTATAACTTTTTTATTTATGTATTTTATTTATTATTTATTAATTATATTAACATAGCCATTATAAGACTACAAATTTTTGCGTAAAAATGAGGTGTTAAATCCGTAGAGTTGTCGCGTTTTTGTTCTCTGGGTGAATCAGCAGTAATTTTCGATAGTTCCCCTCATTATCTTTCCAAGTTATAGTTCTCCCTCAGTGTATTTTTCTTTATTTTTTTACGTGAATTTATTTAGCAATCATCCTAATTTCCCCCACTTCCTTTTACTTCACTTTTTCATTTTCTTCATCCTCATTTCCCTCGTTTTTAATGTTTAATTATTAATATAATTAAAAGATTATTAATTATCATTGTTATTATTATTATTATAACATTATTATTATTTATTAGTATTTCCATAAGATTATCCGTACCGTTTAGAGTACAATCCATCAATAAATCATCCATCAGTAAATCATCCATCAGTTAAGCATCCATCAGTAAATCATCCATCAGTTAAGCATCCATCAGTAAAGCATCCATCAGTAAAGCGTCCATCAGTAAAGCATCCATCAGTAAAGCATCCATCAGTAAAGCATCCATCAGTAAAGCATCCATCAGTACAGCATCCATCAGTACAGCATCTAATGGTGATTTGGAGGATAAATGGTGATTTGGAGGATAAATGGTGATTTGGAGGCTAAACGGTGATTTGAAGGATAAATTGTGATTTGGAGGATGAATGGTGATTTGGGTGGCTAAATGGTGATTTGGGTGTGAATGGTGTATTAGGGCTAAATGGTTAATTGTGAGGCTAAATGGTGATTTGTGTAGCTAAATCGTGATTTGGAAAGATAAATGGTGATTTAGAGGCTAAATGGTGATTTGGGTGGCTAAATGGTGATTTTGAGGCTAAATGGTTATTTGTGTAGTTGAATCGTGATTTGGAAAAATAAATGGTGATTTGGAGGCTAAATTGCGACTTGGGTGACTAAATGAGAATTTTTTGGGGCATAATTTTTCCGTATTTAATTCAAAATATTCGCTTGACACAGCACAACACAGCACAGCACATAATATGTACAATACACCACACAGTACACGGTATATATTGTGTACTGCAATACATAATATACACTGTACTACGAAATACATGATATAATAATCATTTATTTTTTAATTTATGATATTAAGTAATCAAAATCAATAATTTAGCTATTATTTACGATATTAGATGACCGCATGTGATATTTAATGATATTATTCATGATATTTAATACAACAGTGTAATATTTAAAAGATTCTTCATAAAGTTTGTAAATATAGTTTAAATAATGATACAAATATTGTTTATTATAAATAAATTTGTTAAATTAATTTACTGAAGCTGACTTGGATTCACAGGCTTCATTGAGGATAATTATTTTTAATTAAAAAATTTAATTATTTATTTTCTAAAATGATGAAGTTTGATTCATTTTGAAAATGCGTTGTGTAGAGATACCAATTTTATTTATTTATTCTTCAATTATTATTACTTGTGGCTCTATTGTTATCAATAATAATTATATTTTAGTTAAATATTATTATTTATGGTTATTCTTCACAATAATATAGTTATTTGTTCTATTGTTACATTATATGAAAGGGGAGTGTGCAGAGAGCGTGTGAAAGTGTATGGCAATACGTAATCCATGGATGAAACTGAGAAGTGAATGGATAGGAGATAGGGGTGATTAAAGAGGGGTGATTAAAGAGGGGTGATTAAAGGGGGGTGGTTAAAGAAGGGTGATTAAAGGGGGGTGATTGAAGAGGGGGTGATTAAAGAGCTGTCTCTTATACACATCTAGATGTGTATAAGAGACAGATATTATATTATATTATATTATATTATATTATATAATATTATATTATATTATATTATA